TTTATTCAGATCCCGGGTAGAAGTCGCTGCATTTTGTCCAAACGGCGCATGCACAACCCTACCCTAGACCACTCACTTGTCTCCCAACAGACAGGTGTTTAATCATAGTTCACGGGGAACCGCATCTCTCATTACTGTCTCCTTCCGAGGCAAGTAATACTGACTACAGTGGCCTCAGCCCCATGCCACTGAATTTTCATTGATCACGTCGTGTCTAGTTACTCACTTCCCAAATGTTTTGAAATTTTCTAGGACACAGACACATTTTAGAGTCAGTTGCTAGTATTCAAGACTTGCGAGAACTTCCATAGGGCTCATCTATTACAGATGTAGACCAATAATTGGAAGGAAGTCCTGCTGTTGCAACATAAGAATCACCAACATTTTCAGGCCATTGCTTTAGAGTTTATCTCTATAGTGATGATAACGGGCGTCTTCACGACCCCGGGGGGCTACGTTATCTTTTTTAGATTCTGCTTGTTTTTCATGTTTTTATTTCCGCAGAATAAAAGAATAAAAGCATGACGTCCCGATTCATCGGATCGTCATGAGGGGGAGAGTGGTCCACATGCTGATTAACACTGAACAAATCATTCTGGGACACTTCACTCCTCCATCACAAAATTCAACACCCTCTCTACTATCTCCGCAACTCAAATCAAATGGTCAGCTACACTCACAAATCAACCATCATTATGTTCCGCTGTGCCACCGACAAGTTCTCCTCAAATGCATTCATTCCAAATAGTCAAAAAGACTACATTGTGGAGGAGACAGAGGTCAAATACTCGTGTCCTGAAGATGAATTCCATGGGCGTCTCCTATTCTCCAAAGAATATTCATTATAGAGGCGTCACCGCACTTCATCCAAGCTGATCAAGAGCAACTTCTGAAGGCATGGACTACATGCAAGATATTGAAGGTCCCTCAACCCCCGGCATCAAAAATCAAATTGTCAAGAAGACATCAAAGGGGAGATTGCAAGGATTTCTTCAGATAGCCTTCCTCAGAAGTCGAGTTCAAAGACAAAGGAAGCTCAATAACAACAAAGACAAAGATATATGCGCTGCAATGCTGATTCAACACGATTGATCACCAAGGGGGAGATTGTTGGGAATATTTTATGGTGTTCAATCCAGTTAGTTATCTTTGTATTTGTGTAGTTATTAATTAATCGTGTAATACGGGCCACAAATGTGTATCAGCCCGTGGGCTTCCTTGTAACCCGTAAGTTAGCCAACTTCTCCTATAAAAGGAGGCTAACTTACGGGAACCCCAACAATCGTGAGAGGCTTAGAGACGCAGAGGCGAGATAGAGAGATATTAGGGTTGCCGCTGCTCTCCTTCTCCAGGGAGAGTAGCGGCAGATTCATACGGTATATCAGATTCGCGTTCAATCATTTCGATTTCTTTCTATCTGCTTCTTTATCACTGTTATGGTTGTATGATTGTTAGAATTTTGGGACTAACATTTGGGATCATAAAAAATTAAGCATCAGAGGGAGGGAGGACCAGAGCATCAGAAGCAGGGCCGCCTGGGGGATATTTGGGTTCGCCATCACTTTTGGCATCCCCCAGGACTCGGTGGAGAAGGAGGGATCGCTTTCCAGCAAATCCGCATAAATGGACTTCTGCATATCAAATTTCCCGGTTTGAAGCATAAAGCTCCCTCCTCCGCCAAATTATCTTCCCCCTCAGGGGTCAACAACCATTCCGGCGCATTTTCAGCCCGGTACTCGGCAATTGCCCGTTCTAGGTCAGCCTTTAAGGCATCCCCGCTTATGAAGGACTAGATGGCTTCGCTCCCGGCCTCTTGGATCTTCTTCTTCAACTCCTCCTCCTTGACCCACCAAGATGACTCAATCGCATAATGGGCCACCATGGCGTCATCCAACCTCTTCTTGACAGCATAGACCTCTTTCTCAGCAACAGCCCTGGCAACCTCTACAACCTCAAACTTGGCCTCGAGCTCGGCCAAAGCTTTGCGGTGCTCGTCAGAAGACCCCGAGCTCCCTCCAGCTCCTGCTCTAGGTGGGTAGAACTTGAAGCCACCAAGATGAAGGCCTGATATCAATTTCAGATCGTCAGGCTCGAACAATAGTTTCAGATAGCACAAATCAGGAGTCATTAAAGGGAAGAGAGAGCAAGTTACCTCTGAAATGGCCCGAGCCGTCCGCTTTAAGGCCGTAGAGGAGGACATGCCTCCAAGCTCCTCCCTATCAACAGGGGGAGTAACAGCCAGAGCCAGGGCTACCAAGTTGACGGTGCCGTTCAAGTTAGAGGCGGAGTGGGAACACATGGTTAGACGGATCCTGTGGTGGGGCAAGAGTCGCAGCCATGCCCCCTTAGTGGGTTCCCCCCCTGAGCTCTCCAACGAGGGTCCTCCTTGAGCCCCCGTTGTCTGCACCCTCCGGGCAGGAATCATGGACCCAGGGGTTGAACTCGCATTCACCGCAAGTCTCTCCAAACGGGTGGCCATCTTATCACCTTCTGCAAACAACAAGTCTCGGTTAAAATCATAATAAGTAAACCAAAGGGAAAGAAACTATGGGCTAGACAACCCGACCTGGGAAAAACTCAAGCATCACAATGTCATTCTCACCTACGTAATGCCCCCTAAGGAATGGAGAGCCCTTGGCAACAAGCTGGGCAGCCAGTTCATTCCTCTCCGACAAGACATGCATCACCCATCTTCGGATCATCTTCCCCCACCGGTTCTTAATGGGTAGCCTGCCATCCATCGAAGTAACCCAACCCCATTTATATCTCCAACCTTTGAAGGAGTCAAGATAAGATTTTGCAGCGAACAGGCAGAGACCCGCACGCTGGGCAATCGCAACGTATCCTTGGGTATCGGAGGCACCAGATCTCACAGAGTGGAAATATTTAAGGAAAATGTCGAGGTAAGGCCTGACCTTCAAGAAAACACATCGGACTATGAACCCGGTGATAAACAGGTGGGAGTTGGGGGTAAATTGACCCGGAATAACGCCCTAATGGTGCATTATATTGAGGAGAGTAGGGTGAAGGGAAAACGGAGACCCATCTCAAGACCGGCCAGGTGCACCAAAAATGGAGCGGGGAAGGAGGTTCGACAATGTTCTGCCTCGGTGTAGGGCGAGAACAGACAACAGAAGGCCCAACGAGGTGAACCACCTCAGAGATTTCAACGTCCGAAATCGGAACGGACAGAACCCCCCAAGCAAAATCGGCGGACAAGAAGAAGTTGGTTTCAAACCCATGAGAGTCCAGTGGAATCGGGGGACGGCTGGAGCCAGACCCCTCATCCTTCGGGGGAATAGAACGAGAAGGAATGATTTGAGAAGATGACATGAAGAACTGACCTAAGAAGGGTATAGGAAGTTCAAAGCGGATGACAACAGATGGGCCTCCTAGGGTTTGCAAGCAAAAGCTTCAAAGGATTTTTGGGGCGAAATGATTGAGAAAAGGTTTCTTTGAGAAAAGAACCCGTTTATATAGTGGCAGCGTGATAACGACTCTCTAGAACCGCTTGGAAACTGGCGCAAGAGCAATCGAGTGTTGCAACCGAAAAGACAACTTGGAACTCGTGCAAGCCGCAGACGTGCGCTCCCCAATGAACCACATTCAATGGTAAATGGCGCCACGAGTTACCAAGGATTCGAAATTTGAAATAAGGGCTCGTTACTGTTGACTTAGTTTTGTTGATGACTAACCTAAAATGGAACAAAAGAAACAACTATCCTTTGGTCTCAATAGTTTATTATTGAACTAACCATGCAGGTGGACCTTTGGATAGAACCACTGCATGTTCCATAAGAAACATACTTAGTTCTGTTTTGTGAGAATGATTGAATTAATATGTTATTGCATGATACTGCCATATCTACGTACCTAGATATGTTATGCATGGAAGTGGCACAATTCAAATATCTTTACATAAATGATTGGACACCACTTAAGTAAGTTAACCTTAATTGTGCTTCATACTTTATAGAAAGTAAAAGTGGCTTGCTAAAATAAGGTCGTTGCATGATTTGAGTAAAATACTAAGGAAAGCATCTTTACATGATTCGAATAAATTCAAAATAATATTTGTTGCCATGTTCCCGTTGTTCTTACTATGGAAAGTAATCTTGGTATCTTTATATTGATGATCCTCTTTCTAAATACATTTAAAGGAATCTTTTTGGTAGCATATGATTTGATTGCATCTCCTACTATACGAATTTATTTACATCCATGATTGAATATTTCCTTGCCATATTACCTTGAGATCGTTGCATGCATAAGATATTCTCTCATTTGACATATTCTTATGTGTTACTAGAATATCTTATGTCTATCAATATAATTGACCTATGCCGTTAGCTCAAACTATGAGACATATTATACAAGGAAAGTAATTCAAAATATCAAGGAAAGTCCAAATATTCAACCAAGGAAAGGAGAGGCTACGGATGTTGTATATATTGGACTGAAGACCAGAACGAATAGTGTTTTGAAAGAGTGATCAAAAAGGAGAAAGACTTGCAAAGAGTGATCTAGTTCAAGGCATCTAAACCTACGCACGAAGTTCTAGATAGAGTTTCTTTTCCCTTCTTTATCTTGTAACTTGGTTTCGAGGAAAAGCTAAGAGTAGCTTCCTGAGTTTGGGATCGTGTGTGTGAGAGCTTTGTTGTAAAGCTGAGAGGCTCTCTACCCGCAAGGTAGAGATGCATAACTCTTCCTAGAGAGGATAGAGTTGGGGTGGCTCAAGGGTAGATTAGAAAAATTTATCTTGTAAACCCTTTTTGGTTATTTAGTGAAGTTGTTCAAATTCCTCCAAAGGAGGTCGAGGTTTTTTAATCCCTGTGAGCAAAGAGATTTTTCATCGTTAAATTCTTGTGTCTTTATTATTTTCGCACAAGTCATACTTTGTATATTTTAAAATTTATATATATACCTAATACATGAAGTATTTACATAATATATCAAATATATAATCTATTAAACTATACTACCATGAGATGATATTATGGGTCGAGTAATGGTGCGGGTAATCATATCCGAACTAAAAGTGGCCGTCAAGGGATGGTAACTTAACACGATATTCCTCTGCGCGTTCATCTGGGTTCATAATTTTGCCGGAGGGAAATATCTCACTCATCACCTCCCCATCACTACATAGGGCGGGTGCCCGCGAGCCCCAATTACCATCCCCATTATAGACACTACCCAAGAATCTAAGCGTTGGGTTAGTCCCGCTTATGGGAGAGTAAAAAGATCGGCCTAATAATTACTCGTATTTTAAAAAACAATGACGATTGTAGCAGGACTTGCAATGCACGATCTCTCCATTGCCATACACGTTTGCTCCTTTCCACCTTCCACTTTACCTCATCACAGAGTCGGGATTATCATACCCTGTAACAGGTACACGAAACTCCGGACCCGCTTCATCGCATTGGCATTCCCTGCTACCTGCTCGCTAAAAGGCGTCCTGAGAAGGACGGCTGAGCAGACTTCGTCGCCAAGAACTACGCCGTACCGAAGGAAGCAGCCGCCGGCGGTCCTTGACAGAAGCGTCGACATGAATGAACTGTCCTTGTCCATTGGAGAGACAACTAACGAACGAGAGCTCCACGCGTTGATGTCGCCGTACAAAAGTCGGGAACTTTCCGCGCGATTCATGCTCACCCTCATCTCACGCGAATCCGACTGGCAACGCTGTCTCGCGCTGCTCGATTGGATTCACGAAGAGGCTCTGTACACCCCTTCCGTGTTCGCATACAACGTCGTGCTTCGTAATGTTCTCCGAGCCAAGCAATGGCGCCTTGCCGCTGGACTGTTCGACGAAATGCGCCAACGAGGCCTCTCACCAGATAAGTACACTTACTCGACTCTAATTACCCATTTCGGGAAAGAAGGCCTGTTTGACGATGCTCTATCTTGGCTTCAGAAAATGGAGCATGACCACGTGACTGGGGATCTGGTTCTGTACAGCAATTTGATGGAGTTATCTCGTAAACTATCTGATTACCCAAAGGCTATATCAATATTCTCCAAACTAAAGAGCTCAGGGATTACCCCGGACCTGGTAGCTTACAACACAATGATAAATGTGTTTGGGAAAGCCAGGCTTTTTCGGGAAGCAAGTTTATTGCTAAACGAGATGATGTCAAATGGCATTACCCCAGATACCGTTAGTTACTCTACGCTTATGAGTATCTACATGGAGAATCGGAAGGTTCTTGAAGCTCTATCCGTGTTTTCTGAAATGAAGAAAGCAAACTGCCCGCTTGATTTAACAACCTGCAATATAATGATCGATGTGTATGGACAGCTTGATATGGCGAAAGAAGCAGATAGTTTGTTTTGGAGTATGAGGAAGATAGGGATCGCACCAAACGTGATAACTTACAACACCCTTTTAAGGGTTTATGGTGATGCCGAGCTGTTCGGCGAAGCCATACATTTATTCAGATTGATGCAGAAGAAGAACATCCACCAAAACGTCGTGACATATAACACAATGATTAAGATATACGGGAAAACGCGCGAACATGAAAAGGCAAACAACCTTGTTAAGGAAATGGAGACTAAAGGGATCAAACCGGACACCATCACATTCGCTACTATGATCCACATATGGAGTAAAGCAGGAAAGTTGGACAGAGTCGCAATTCTGTTTCAGAAGCTACGGTCTTCTGGGGTTGAATTCGATCAGGTTTTATACCAGACGATTATCGTGGCTTATGAACGGGCCGGACTAGTCGCCCATGCCAATCGTTTGCTGCAGGAACTGAAACGGCCCGATAATATTCCTCGGGAAACCGCTATAATGGCTCTTGCAGGAGCTGGTCGGCTAGAAGAGGCAATGTGGGTGTTTCGACGCATGATTGATGCTAGGGAGGTGAAGAACATAGAGATTTTTGAGTGTATGATTGATCTTTTTTCTAGAAATAGAAGGTACAAAAATGTCATTGACGTGTACCGGAATTTGAGAGAATCAGGTTTTTCCCCGGATTCAAACATGGTTGTCATGGTCCTTGATGCTTATGGGAAGTTGGGGGAGTTTGAGAAGGCGGAGTGTCTATATAGGAAGATGAATGAGGAGGAGGAACGGGTTTTGTCTGACGATGTCCATTTTCAGATGTTGAGTGTGTATGGGGCCCGGGGGGATTTTGAAATGGTCGAGACGTTGTTTGAGAGACTTGAAATTGATCCACGCGTTAACAAGAGGGATTTGCATCAAGTTTTTGCGGGTATATATGAACGAGCAAACAGAGTAGAGGATGCATCTCGGCTTGTCAATAGAATGAGTGACATGAAAGTCCTTTTATCATGATCTCTCTCCCAGAAACAAATTGTGTGACCATTTGTTGTTTTCATACATCTCTCTATCCCAGTGTATATATGTAAACTGCGTATGTAATTCAGTGTAGAACAAAACTTATTGTGTAGATTTCTGTGTCTATCACTCCCTCTGGTTGTCTCGTCCTTCACAATTTAATAGGTGGTCCTTATGATTACCAGGCATTTAAGCATTTAATTTAATGCTTGCTCATGAATTAACATTGATAAACACTTTAAATGACCTACACCTACCTATATTAGTTATCTCGTCGTTATAATATCTCGTTTGTTGGACTTGACGTCTGCGATTGGCATGATGTGTAGAGAGGGACATCGAAGATTCATGTGGGAGGTTTCACCCAGTTCAGGTTCACAGTCAAGTTAGGACAATTACACTCTCGCAATTGATATAGAAACATCAGCACCAGTGGTCTAGTGGTAGAATAGTACCCTGCCACGGTACAGACCCGGGTTCGATTCCCGGCTGGTGCAACTTTTTGCGTTTTTTCCCCTTTCCGGCCCATTTTTTTTTTCCGACACAGCACACACACGGTTCACGATTTTGTCAGTTGACATGATTTGCAGTTAAGCCGAAGGAAAACATTAATTTCGTCGACATAATAAAAAGGAAAAGGAGGAGATTCTACGGACGCAACTGGTGTGTGTCTTCAACATGATTATAATGGAACCTTGACCCTTCCCTGAAATTTAGATCTGTGATGGAAATTTTCAAGAAAGCCCAAACCGTCCGGCTAATGAGCCACCACGACAAATACCTATCCGCCGACCGGAAGGAAGAGTCGGTTTTCCAATGCAGGGATGGCTCCACCAAGGCCGCGAAATGGACCGTGGAATTCGTGGAAGGGGCCCACTTCGTCCTCCGCCTGAAGAGCTGTTACGGCAGGTACCTAACCGCCACGGACGAGCAGTACCTTCTCGGCGTGACGGGCAGAAAGGTCCTCCAAACGGTACCTAAGAAATTGGACTCGAAGATCGAATGGGAACCCGTGAGGGAAGGGAACCTGGTGAAGATGAAAACAAGGTACGGCAACTTTCTGAGGGCGAATTCGGGAATCCCTCCTTGGAGAAACTCAATCACGCACGACATTCCTCATAGGCATCAAGACTGGATTTTGTGGCAAGTTGAGATTCTTGAAATCCGTCCGGATTCTCCGGAAAAGATCCCTAGATCAGATGACGCCGATGATGACTTGTCCAACTTTAGGCTTGCCTCACCATCTCTTTCCCAACACTCGGTAAGTTAAGTAGGGGTGTTTAAATAATAATAACAACAAAAACTATGATGATTACTATTTTAATAAACAATATAACTATTGGCTTTTGATATTTCAGTTTTAAACTTTCATGTGTTGGTTTAGCTTCACTTTCTGTAAACTTGTGAACCTTTTATTATTATTATTATTATACGGAGTATGAAGTTTTTCATCATTGTTGCTATGATTGTTAAATAAATTATCATCAGTTTTTTTATGAATATGCTACTTAGCTAGCAGTTTCAGTAGGGACTAGTTAACTAGCTGATCAGGGTAAACTACCCCATCCTTATCAAACTTATTATGTAGATTCGCTTATGAAAAAGTAGCCAGGCCATTTCTCAAAACATGATTGGTTTTAAAGTTTTAACCTTAAACCGTCGTATTCGCACCATGAAAACTCCTCTCCCTCCCTTTCAGTTACTTGCTGAGAAGTAGATCCATGATTAGAGACATTTATATTATATGGAGTACTGTATATAGTCATATTAAAGCTGAAATGAAAATGTACGTGCAGCGAGGGGAGTCGGTCGATGGGAGTGAAGGGCGGGTCATATACTACTATGTGGCGGATGATAAAGGGAATGTTGAGGATAATGGGGTTGAATGGCCATGCTTCCATTTTAAAGGGAATGGTTTGGAGGAATTGAGTGAGAAGCTGGAGGAAGAGACTGGGCTTGAAGATGTGATCGTGTGCATGCGCAACCCTTTGAATGGCAAGGTTATCCCTCTCCGCTTAGCTCTCCCGCCTAACAATTCTACCATGCATGTCGTCGTTCTTCCTTCCTCTTCCAAAGGTTAGTCTTCCCATCACCCCGTTGTCCTAGCTAGTAGCTTTGCTTTCTGGAGATTGTAAATAATAAATGTGTAGTCTATGACTATGTCATCTTAAGCTAGCTTTTAGTTCAGTTGTAAGAGAACACACACACACATCTGGTAGAGCTACACCTTCATTGCTGTTGTTTCTTTTGTTTCCTAATTAACATCAATGATGGTTCACATTCCTTCATTCATATGTGTCTTTTTGTGTTGTTGACAGCGGCTAGAGTCTTTCTGCCGGAAAGTTCATTCTCACCATCTCATTGTTGATCAATCCATCCCTCCGCGGATAGCTAGGGTGGTCATTCATACTCAGAAGAGAGAAGAACATTCAGTTAGCATCGGGTTATTCTTCTACGATTTGTTTTTTGATTGTGATTTGGACAGAGTGAAACTTATGTTTGCTGAGTGTGTAGTAGCCTTCTTTGGTCCAACAAGAGGGGGGCTTTGAATAATGTAAAGAGGAATTGAAGTGTCCATCCTTAACTTCATGTTAGCATTTTCATTGTGCATTGGTTGCCAAGCTCCACAAACATTCTTGAAAATCATTCTGAAGATGTTATTAAATGGAGAACCTGGGCAGAATGCATCTCAAAGTCAACGTTAGCATAATCATGGCTATTATTCCATTTGATCACTTCGTATAGAGCTGCAAAGTCAGCATCAGTCTTGCTATCCACATTCATACGATTTTTTTTAGCAGACTGAAAGAGGCCAAAATGATCTCTCAATATTCCCGCTACAAAAAATGAACCCGGCTTTCCCACAACTGCAATGTTTAACTTTAAGCGTCCAGGTGATGGCTTAGTCCATCTTTCAATGCATGGCTTTCTTCTACGCAAGAAAGAACAAGGTAATTGGTGAGAAGAAACCAGTTTGGAGCACTTATGTTAAATCTTCTGCTTCGAAACACTCAAGCACCAATCATGCATGAAGTTTGTGATCTTAGTTATAATATTACTGGTAACGTTAGAAGCACTACCCCAAGTAAGATCACAAAATTGTGCCCAAAGAAACCAGACTATAACATTAGGCATCACAGATATATACATTCCAGTAAGAGACTTGTTAGAGGATGAAAGCCACCATGAAAACATGCATTGGCGTAAAGAAGAATGATATTTCGTGTTATCCAATAACAAAGCGCTGAAATATTTCCAAACCGTGAGTGCATAGGAGCATGAATAAAACATATGATCTGTTGTCATCTCGCCCCGTCGACAGAAAGGACACACAGAAGGAAGGTTATACCGGAGTTTTCTTAGATTTTGAGGTAAGGGAATGTAACTGTTGAATAATCTCCAAAGAAAGATAGCAATCTTTAATGGGATAAATGGTTTCATAAGCTGATGATATGGAAAAAATTCCATCAGAAGAGTGTTTCCATATCAAACTGTCGTTTACCCTCGTTGTATGTAACACTGCATTTGAGTGCACCTTGCAAATTCTCTGCCAAAGATGAGAGTCAGTAGGCTTGATATCCATGGAATGCCTCCTTCCATACTTGATATACATCAAGTTGGCCCAAAGCGACTCCCTTTGGTTGTATGTCCACCAATGTTTTAATGAATAAGTATACTGCATATCATCCAAGGACCTGATCCCTAATCCACCACACCCTCTTGGTTTACAAATAGATCTCATACTATCCAAATGATGTTTAAATTCATGCTCCGAATATCCCCAAAAGAAATTAGATATCTTCCGTTTAATCATTCTAAACACAGATTTAGGAAGTTTGGTAACGGCTAGGAAATGAAGAGGAAGTGAATTGAGCAATGAGCACATGTCTAATCAATATCAATCTGCCAGCTTGTGAGGGCCTTGTGTTTCCAAACGGAGAGCTTAGAATCACATCCACCAAGTCCATACAATGAGCCACCCTAGTAATGCCTTAAAAGTTAAAAGGCAGATTACAATGTGTGATCTTCAAAAGTTTCTCCATGCCCCTAACACGAGCCGAAGATAGATGAGAGGGAGTGATCACTTGACTCTTGTGAAAATTGACAAGCTGACCCATTGCTGCTTCATAAACTCTCAAGAAAGAGAGAAAGTTCTTCAGATTTGCTTGGCTACCATTCAGAAAAACTAGCAAATCATCCGCGTAAGCAAGATGCGAAATACAAACCCCCCTAGCAGCCTTATAAGGGATGATTTGATTCTGAGAAATCAGATAGTTCAAACCCCTCGAAAACCCCTCAGAAATGAGTATAAACAATAATGGAGATAAAGGATCTCCTTGTTTGACTCCTCTGCCGGGTTTGAAAAAGCCAAAAGCCGCACCATTGACTAGGATAGAAATATAAGTAGCCTTTAAATTCTGCATGATCAGGTTGATTACTGCCGAGTGAAAACCGGAACTGCCTTGAAGATTCTGCAGAAAAGTCCAAGATACACGGTCAAAAGCCTTTGCCATGTCTAACTTTAATGCTATATTAGAGCCATGCACCTTCCACTCCAAGCTGTGAATCATCTCATAAGCAGCCAAAACATGGTCTGATATATCTTTGCCTTTAAGAAAACCCGCCTGTTCTTTAGAGATCAAGCGAGGCAGAATAGAAGATAGGCAGGTGGCTAAAATTCTAGTGTTAATTTTGCTGAGAAATGTTGATAGGCAAATGGGCCGAAAGTCTCCCAAGCTGCTAGCATTTTCAATCTTTGGAATCAATACCTAAAAAACACTACCCACGCTTTTAGTAATCTTAAGACCCATAAAAAATTCCTGCACCGCCCTCACCACATCCGAGCCAATTAAATCCCAAAATTTTCTAAAGAAAAACCCACTAAATCCATCAGGGCCTGGAGCACTATTAGGATTTAGATCCCACACAGCAGCCTTCACTTCCTTTTCCTGAGGTATTTCCAAAAGAGCTGTATTATCATTCTCAGAAATAAGGTCTGGAATATATTGCAGTATCTGCTCATGCTCAGTAGTTTCCTCTTCATTATATAACTGAGAAAAATAGAAACTGCCCCGCGACCAATCTCAGTATCTCCATACACTTCCTTTTCCTGAGGTATTTCCAAAAGAGCTGTATTATCATTCTCAGAAATAAGGTCTGGAATATATTGCAGTATCTGCTCATGCTCAGTAGTTTCCTCTTCATTATATAACTGAGAAAAATAGAAACTGCCCCGCAACCAATCTCAGTATCTCCATACACTTCTTTTCCATCTAGGTCCTTAATGACAGTAGTAACCTGTCTTCTTCTCAAAAAAAAAGAAACTGCCTCGTGACTCATCTCAAAACACCAAGAATGCCAAATCAAAAAAAAAAGTGGAGCTTCTACTTTTCATGAAATGTTTAGTGGTATGATGCAACAATTTGCAGTGAAAAATAAAGTGGTTGAGGAAGTTGCTACTTCGGTGAAGAATGTGACGAATTTGAATATGAGTGTTCTAAATTCAATGGATGCTAATACGTCAAAGTATAGTATTGAAGATGGTATGATAAAGTTGTGCACTTTACCCGGTCTAGATCCACTTACTCCTCAGATTTTATTTGCTTGCTCGATTATTGAGAATCCCCATAAGAGGACTATTTTCCTCAGTTTGCCACATGATGATAGTAGAGTTGTATACATTAATTTTATGTATGCTGAACACAATAAAGGAACATTTGTGACTTTTTGTGAACTTTTTGTTATGTTGGACACATTTTGAGCATTTATGTGACTTCAATGTTATTATTATTGATTATAACTTAACTTTAAAAAATTACATTTATAATGTACATATTTTATTTGTATGTGATCATGGATAATTACAACATGCGAAATAGACAATTTCTTTTCATGTTTCAGCAGCAATATCTCTTATGTCACAAATACTTTGAAATAGAGTGAAAATTTGGATGATGGCTTCTATGACAGCTTATATGTGCGAGTATTATTTCAAAAACATATATAAGGAGTCGTGCATGACGTCCTATATGACCGGAGAAAGATGGATGAATGAGGTATTAAATGGTCATGAAAAAAGATGTTTCAATGCGTTTAGAAATGACGTGTATGGCGTCCTATACAACCATTCAATTTAAAAGAAAGGTCAGGAAAGGAACTTTCTTTTAGTAGATGTCTTTTGGGTTACAGACTCCTGATCAGAGCTGTATAAATACCCGCTTTGTCTTCAAGAATGGGACATCCGAAATTCACAAAACAATTCCTCCATACTCTCTCTTCCTTCGTTGAATCTTTGAGTTCGCCGAAATCCCGTTGGGAGCGAAGAACTGTTCTATCCTGGGACACGCTTGCTACGTGTGTCGGGCAAAAACGTCTTAAGAAAACGACGTTTACGTTGGGCTCGATTACAAGTAATCTTACGTTTTTCCTTAACTATTTATTATTTATTTGTTATTTCATTTGCATGAAGAATATTATACACACATATAACAGGATCACGACCAAGAGGGTCACGAGAAGTATTTAATTGCGTGCATTCATCCCTAAGAAGTTGTGTCGAGAGAGCATTTGGTGTTCTTAAAGCCTAATGGAAGATATTACAAAGTGACAAAGTATTCACTAGTCGATCAAAATAGGATCATATGCTCATGTTTTGCATTACACTACATAAGAAAAAGCAAACTTGATCCAACTTTTGATTTCATTGATGAAGATCCTGTATTCATAGCTCCTGATGTTATTCGAGATGTTCAAGCTAATTCTGCACAAGGTGACTATCAAATGAAAATTCATTAGACGATTATTCGTGATAACATTGCTTCAAGTTTGATGTCATAGACACTTTGTTCTTAAAACTATCACAAATTTTGTTCTTATTATCGGTGTAGTGAATTTATGAATTTTAATTATTATATTTTCATTTAATTCATGGGTGCTAATTATTGGTATTTATTAATTATTTTTGCTAATTATTATCGTTCGTATTTGTTGTTATTTTTTATAACATCATATTAAACAAAAAGAAAGAAATATTGAAATGTGCTAATGTCTTTTTTTGTCTTTTTATCTATTAACTGTTAAAAGCAAAGTTACTAAAACATCTTTACTGTAATCCGCCAAATTGATCTGCCGGTCAAAGCTGCTGACTCAATCCGCTAACTATTAACCGCCGATTGCCAAACAAGCCCAATCTCATATGTGATTACAATAAACTGTGACAATAAAATGGAAAAAGTTGACAAAGTCCAATGAAATTATAATACAAATGTAAAACAATAAAATTACAATACAATTACACTTTATTGTAGTCATTCATATCAATTATCAAGTATTGCATCTATATATGAATATAGATAATATGTATATACTACGTATTACTCTAATTGTGTGATTGAATACTACGTACCAGTATAAAATAATTTGTACACATAACGAAGATATATTTGAGTCCTAAAAATAAATTCGCATTCTATTTATTCAAATTTGAATCACAGATCATATTCTATTCATATTTGTTTTATTCTGTTTTACTTTGCTTTGCAAAACAAGGATTTCTTCACACTTTCTACCAAATAGGTCATGTCGGTCGTGTAAACTCAATTCAATCTCTCAACTAAAAAACGTTCAATGCACACCCCGAACCAAGGAAAAATGGTTCAAATTTCATTTTTATAGGTAA